CCTTTTGGAGGCATTTTAGTAGTTGTAGAGTTTTGCTCAGAGCTCAAAGCCTTGACAATATGAAAAGAACAGAAGTGAAAAGTCATAGAACAGACAGTGAAGCAATAAACACGTCTGCTCTCGCTCGCAATCCGGAAGCAACTTTGGATATACCATGACCTGGAGACTTCTACTTTTCATTCAGAATCTATTGCATGTATGTTGGATGTATGTAACTATAATATATGAATGTAGTTCATTTACCTTGTGGTGCCTTTGTCTCTGCATCTCCAAGCTTATTTCCCAGTTCTGCCAGGCTGGTGCTGAACTCTGTTTATTAAAAATGAGGGAATAAATACTGCATGGCTTCAAACATTCAGGCAAATACCTATATAAATCATGAGGTGAGATTAGATGAGCTGCAATGAGAGGGAAATCTACTTTACTGGTCATTAATAATTGACGTGTTTGGTGTATTAACTTTACTTTCTTTTTGGAGTTGTTCCACTCTTTTGGCTTGGCCCTCCAAATCCCTAGCATACAGTCTGGCCTCCAGGTCTGCTCAGTGAGGAAGGAAAGAACACATTACCGAACAAATAAAAACAAAAAAATAACAAGTCAGTAAAAAAAAAAACATGTTATTAATAGATTATTATTGATTATTAGCATCGTCTAGCCTCGTGTCAATCTGAAAATAATAGTGGAAAAAAGATCAAGTCACAGCCTGTGACATGTAAATATGGGCTATATACTGTAAATGCTTTCTGCTACTGTGCTGCAAGTCTCAGAATTATAGTGACATTTAAAGACACATTAGTGCATGTGCATACATATGCATGATGGAAACACATAGATGTCCAGCCAGCTCCCGTCAAACCTCAGGACAACATCATGACAATAGAGTACCGAGCTGGAGGTGTTTGTCCAGATGTGTGTGTATGTGGGCTGCCATGGACAGAGCAGAGGTCAAGTCTTAAGCAGCTAAGGTCATACAGTAAAATAGGACAGATCTGCTTTCACACACCTACAGTAGGCACACTGATGTGTGCATGCAATATGTATGTGTGTATCTGCATATCAGTTTTTGTCTATTTATATATAGTTTGTTCTTGCATGTGTGTGCTGTATATGTGCGTTACTAGGTTAGAGATATGCACGTGTGCAGGAAAGGTTAAAGAACCCTGACAGAACTGCTTTTACACACCTAAAGTTCATTATGTGTATGGGGCACCATGTTGTCCTGTATGTCTATTGTGTGTGTGAGGGTGCGTGCATGAATGTGTGGTCTTAACGTAATATATGTGCTTGGATAATACATATGGTATGTATGCACATTTGTGGGAGAACTTTTCCTGGGGCCAGTCAGGGTCCAGTTCTCACTCACATAGTTCTCTGTCTGCTGTCAAAAATCACTCAAAGTCTAAGCAGTCTGTTTCAAAGTATAAGAGTTATTGAGGAAAAGTTCAAAAACACCCCAATAGCAACTGTTTCCCTTTTATACCCTCTATAGCTCTTCCTTACCTGCGGCTTGCTTCATCCCGTCTTTCTCTCTGACCTACTTAAGGATATACTATTATTTCATTGGCCAGTATAGATTTCTAAAAAAATAAAACTGACCTCGCATGGCAAATGCAAGTCAGAACAGTTGGACAAATGGATTTTAACTAAATGTGAAAGTCAGGATAGCCCTTCCAAATGTGTAAACACATAGCAGTAAGAGTTTTTTTCCACAAAGGCTTCTATTTTTTAAGTCCTGTTTTGAACTTATTTTTTGTGAAAATGTCTTTTTTTCAGTCACGTAATTATGAGAACTTTTTTTTGTTGGTTTGTGTCTTATAAAATTATAAAACGTGATTTTTTTTTTGCATTTTTTTCATCTAGTTCTTATCCACAGGCCAAATAGTCACATCTGGTCAGAAATTTTTGCAGCCATGGCAAATGTAGTTTTGTTGCATGTGATTTAAAATGTAGGTGATTTAGGCATCACTGAACTTTTATGCCAAGTCACAGCTACTGCCACACTCTTGCTTTATATATTTTCTTTGTCTGAGTCTAACCACTGTATGTAAGTGGAAAACAAGCAAGTGGTCTGTGTGTTCTAAGTGCATTAAACAGGACTCTCAAGGCTTCTGTCATGTGTAATATGCATGTGTTTTTAGCATTTTAAGGCACAGTTACTAGTTGGCCAGAAAATTTAGAAAAGAACAATTTGCAAACAACTTTTGAAATCACATAATCATTGATCATTCAGAACTGCTGAACTGTCATTTTGAGTTATATGGAAATAAGTCATGCAATGGCAGTGTGCCTATACAGTATATTGCAGAGGCTTCCAGAAGCTGTTCTGTCGTGGATTTACAGCATTGTCAAGCATAAAGGCATATTTATGTCTTTACTACTTTTGTTGGAGAGCTGATTGAGCTGAATTCACCAAGATATTTGTTAAACTGAATGACATTACACAGTGTGTATTCAGGACATTATAAGTGAACAATGTTTTGTATCTTGTTTTGTACTGATTCTTCCAGTGATGTATCAGAGTAAGTGGTTACATTTGTAGTAATTGATAACGATGCACTGAAATATTTAGAGAATCTGTGATTAGCTACATATTTAATCTGCAAGTCCAAAGTGAGCACATGTATGGTGTGAGTCAGACAGATGGCACATGTCATAGGTTTTATGTCAGTTTATCATGAATACGTGCCTTATGATGCCCCATTCGCTGCCAACTGACATATTTTCATGTGTAACTTTGAAAACCAGCCTGTACCAATATAAACGTGTTAACATAAATACTCAATATTATCCAGTGAAAGAAAATAAAAACCCAAGTAATAGGCTATACATTTTTAAGTATTCACCATATCGACACACATATGTTTTCTAATGATTGAGACTGCTCAAATCAGACTGAAGTTGAGCAGTTTGTTTTGATTCCAAGCTCTGCATATTACTGGATTTTTTTAATTTTATTTTTTTATTTATTCATTTATGTATTTATTTTGTTGATCATTGGACATTGGTTTCCAAATCCAATGATTACAACAGTAAAACTGGCCAAAGGTTCTTTGAATTTATCTGATGTCTGTATTGTCTTGTTTTCAGATGCAGAAATTGAATTAGAGTTACACTAACCTTCTGAACATTTTCTCTTCCTTGTAGATCATTGCTTATCAGCCATATGGCCGCTCTGTAGACTGGTGGGCATACGGAGTGTTGCTCTTCGAAATGCTGGCAGGAGAGGTGAGTGGTGTGCATACAGTAAACACACATGCAACAATACACATTTGGTTTTATTCCTCGTGGGCACTTTACACTGACCTACATTCATTTCTTGGTGACTTACCCTAACCCCTTGAGCTGCCTACTTCTTATTAACATGAACCTAACCCTAACCTCACGCTAACCTTAAACCAGGTCATTGCCTTAAAACTTAATGAGTTACATGACTGGGGCCAGCATCAGGTCCCCACAAGGCTGTGTCCCTACAGTGGGAGTGCCTAGACAGATTTCAGTCTTCAGAAAGTAATACCAAGTGCACACACACACCAACACACACAGACAATGGTACTTATGTAATTACCAGCTATACAGTACTATGTCAGTCACTTTGCACACTCAGGTTTGCCCACAGACTGCTCATAGCCACATTATCCCCACACTTAAGCTCCCTTTGGAATCAAATGTACCAAGTCTAGAGATCGAGGACATGCTGGTATTCTACATGAATAATGTTAGGAGTGCTCCTGAGGAGGAGCATTAAGCTAGGCATGTAGTGAAAAACGATTAATTGCACTGATTAAAGAAGATTAAATTGGGCCTGAACAGCTACCTCCTTTTTCTTAAACTCTTTCTTTGTGGTTTATTTATCCAGCATGGCCTGAAGGTGGGTGGTTACTCTGCAACAATGTGACGTCTTCATAGATTAGCGTAATGTTAGCTTTTTATGATGACACCTGTATCTACAGTCTGTGCTGAACAATGAGGTTTTTGGTATCAACCTTAGACCACATTTAAGGTTGATACCTTAAATCACATTCACAGCTTTGCTTTACTATGTAGCCAAGGCTTAAAGTATGGTCATAATGAAAGCTGCTTCAAGACAAATCTGAGTTGTTCATTTGAAAAACATTAAGAACATTAAAAAGATTTTTTCACAGGCTTTACTAAGACATGTTTACAACACATGGCTTGTAATGACTTAAGACATTAATTACATTAAGTTATTTTTGAAGTGACCCCCAAAAGGCCCAAAGGCAAAGTCCGTCAGTAGCTATACCAATGACAAACATTTTTATCTACAGTATCCAGATGTTTCCTTCCTCAGTCCTTCTCTCTGTCTTGTGTGAAATCAGGTAAAGGGGTCATGAAGCAGAGGTTATCTCCAGCAGAAGGGGCCAGTGGAGTGGAAATGAGGAATAATTCATTTTATGGGCTGTCAAAACACCCACATTATAGTTACTGAGGATAACCACTCAGTGAGGAGGGAAAAAACTGGGTCATCCACTCCATTTGCCCGACAAGGTCTTCCTGTAAAACTTGCTTACACAAATTCACCATTGTTACTTGCTGTTTTCTCTCCTTTTTCCATGTCTTTGTTTCTCAGTCTTCTGTCTTTTTTCTCTCATATTCTTCTTCTGTCCACCCTGTTCTGTCTAAGTGGTGTCCTGCTTTCTGCCTTGCTCCACTTTATTCATTAGTAAAAAGAGGTTTTTACTTTGCACCAATAACCCAACAAGAGCAACCACTTACATATCCGCTATGTGAAAATGGTTGAAAAACCAGCAAAGATGATATTAATATTGTATTCCTCTGTCACTAGCCTCCATTTGATGGAGAGGATGAAGATGAGTTGTTTCAGTCCATTATGGAGCGCAATGTGTCCTACCCCAAGTCCCTTTCCAAAGAAGCTGTTTCTATCTGCAAAGGGGTGAGTAGTTGTTATTTGTTGTCCTCGAAAAATCCTTTTACCCCAGTTTTTGGGTTAAAGCTAAATCTGTAAGCATAAAGATGGATCAATCAGTTTGATCATCATAAAAGGGTCTTTTAATTTTGTTTTTCTATTTTACAGACACATTCTTCAAAATGCATGTAAACTGACATGACATAAAACCTGCCTCTTGTCTTATTTTAACTGGCACCATTTCCCCCAGAAGTTTTTCCCACCTGGGTTGAAAGCCCTGTAAATTGGCACTTTAAGCTCTGTGTCTTTCTAGCTCTTCACTGGAGCCAAAGTAAATGAACTTCTTGTAGGTAAAAGCCTTGCCTTCTAGGGCTGACAGGGCATGTTACAGACTGCTGTAAGGCTTTTCTTAGTCTTCCAAAGGTAGATGCAACACGTCTAGCTCAATTTGTTGTGAAAATGAAGTGGGCTTTTTTTAAGTAGTGTTTGTGAATTCAGCTGGTAGGTTCCTCTCCTCCTCCACTCAGGTCCCGTGTCTTTGACATTTGCATTATTAAAATATTAAAGTGAAACATATCAGGTCATACAGTGTACTTTTGACAAGCTTGTAATGTGTTTTTATAGTTTTTTTTTCCAAAAGCTTGTTTTTCACAAGTCTAATATATATTCAGCTGCATAACAGATAAAAGTAGGAGATGTTTGTCTTTACCATTTTCATATTGCCCTTGGGTAGTGAACAGGGAGGTGTGTAATTTGTTCAGAGCACATTACAGAAAGTAATCTATAAAACACAGTATATTGTTCTGTACGCTTGGCACTCATGCAGTAGTGAAGTTGTCATAAAAAAACTAACTAAATCTGGACTATGGGAACAGTTACACTGGCGGTATGTAAAAAGTGGATAGTCATAAGGAAATCCCACGTAAGGGAGTTTAACTGTCATATCAGTCATTTAACAAAACATCTTCTCTTTCTGTACCAACCTTTTTGGCTCATCAGTTTCACCAGAAAGTGGGCAGTCAACATTTGAATGCAGCATGGGAATAGGAAACCTACTGATATGAGTGTAAAGTCTGTAGTTGGTTATTAAAGAGCCAATCAAATGAATGATAAACCCCAACGATACAGCTGCATTGACATCTGTGCACACTGTCTGCATACCAACAGAAGTTCCTACAACCTGACAACTGAGAAAACGCTGGTCTGTTTACCAGTCTGTTCATAAGTACAGAGAAGTTATTAAGAAAGTTGAATTGAGAAGAATGGGGCTCATTTAGATTGAGTCCCTACAGCATGTTTGCATACATAAAACAAAATTTACTCCAATATATAACCTAGAGTTTATGATACGATTTAGGTGACTGAGTAGGTGAGGAATAAACAACACATACAAATACGATTTTGTCTGGTACAGCACATCCTCTGCTTCAGAGTTCTGTATATATTTTCACTGTAGAATTGGATTGTCAATACTCCAGACAATGTCTTTCTTTTCCTTAGCAAGGATATGCAATATACATGTATCTATGTAAATATAATATCAGGTGATATTCCAAAAACACCTTTAGAAAGACAAGCAGCCAGTCAGTGATTATTGGTTTAATGCCTTTAGACAGGAAGTGTGAAAGCGCCTGTGTGTTCTCCTTACGTTTAAACTACTTGTAATTTTTGATACATTATTTAGACAGCCAAGTTTTTATGTAAGTAATAAGTAGTTGATAAATAACACCGGTAGGCTTCTACATAATTTAACAAGGATAGGTTGCTTCATTGGTTCTGGTTTCCTGTGGGATTTGCTTTGTAACAAACTGCAGACAGTCCTCATGTTGTCTGCAGCAGGACTGGAAGTGGCAGCAGAGAACAAGCAGAGGCAGAGTGGAAAAAACTATTATATTGCTCTTTAGTACACCCTTATGTTTAGCTCCCATTTACTGACCTAGAATATAGATGGAAACACTCATTGCTGTTCATGGTTTTCTGGATTGCAGAAGGTTTTCTCAATTTACCTGAGAAATGGAAGAAAGACAAGATCTGTTTAATTTGAAACAGCTGGACTGCTTTAAATAACTAATGAGAATCATGCATTCTGCATTTTTTTAGGTTTGGGTATAAGTGGAATCTCATCTATGATTCAGAATGGTTCCATCTCTTTACTCTAACTTCATGTCCTCCTTTTGTTCCTTACTGTGAACAGCTGATGACCAGGTACCCTTCCAAGCGCCTTGGCTGTGGCCTTGAGGGAGAGAGGGACATCAGAGAACATGCCTTCTTCAGACGTATTGACTGGGACCGCCTAGCGAACAGGGAGATACAGCCGCCCTTCAAACCCAAAACGGTAAGTTCCTTCAACACACACCGTTTAAGCAATAAATACGCTTAGGTGTAATTTATACTGTACTTCCTAATCTAATTAAGTAGAATACCACTTGCTATAATTACATTGATCAAGGGCAAAGTCTCGAGCAGTTATAATGTCATAATGCTGTCGCTAACGTTATAGGCATTATTGACAGCAGGTAAAGTCAGTCTGTGCACTGCTGTTGCTCACTTTAAGCTGTGGGCTCATGTCAGTGAGTGGAAATGATATGATCCACTTTAAGGGCGTGTGAGATCACTATAGATGCTGCTTTAGGCCAAATACTGTAGGCTATCTGAAAATAGTTACATTTGTGACTGGAGTTTTAAAGAACATGTAAAATCTTTAACCCTCCCCAGCTGTTATTTCTTCAAACACCTTTCTCATTAAAACCAGGAGGTTGTGTTGTTAAAATTCAACATTGTCTACAGTATTGCCTCCTATATCAATTTATATGCACATATACTGAAGTGTTAAACAGTGTGCACACAGTATGAGGTATATTGTGGTTGATGTGTTAAGTAAACAGTGTTCAAATGAAATTAAACAGATGGTGCATAGTGTAGCAGTACAGATAAAAGTTAGTTATGAGTTATGATATATTCTGAATATTTTTGGAATATTATTTATATATAAAATGAGATTTCCACAAAATGTTTATCTCTGTGTACCACTCTGTACAATTGGAGCCTGTCACATTTTATGAGGAGGTTTTTATTAACATCTCAGTTTGGTATATATACACACAATCATGTTGGTTTTAATCTGACATTAACCATCACAACTAAATAACTAAACCTTACCCTGATCCTGGAAGAACCAGCAAGAGGAAGCTTGATTTTGAAAGCAGCCAGCTGAACAAATCCCACCCTTTGGCTCCCACTTCTCTCCAGAGCCAACGTGTACTGCCTGACTCCTACTTACAGATTTCAGGAAAATAACAAATGCCCCAAATAAAACAAAACTGATAATATGATAATAATAACTGATAATTGCCTGTCCAGCAGAAATACAGCCACCATGGCATCACTTTTCAGCCCCTTTTGTTTTATCGGTTGTTGCTGTCATTTAAAAACCACAGCAATGTTAATTCTGATTTTACTTCTTGCAGCATCCAACTTCTTTTAGTTGTAAAGTTCTCAAATGCTGTTACCCGCCCAGATCTGCGAACTGAAGATGGGGACCTTTGGATTTTCTTCTTTATGTTGTCTGTGCATTTATTGAATTCATTGCCATCAGCATGAAAAGAGAAATTCAAGAAATTTAACAGAAAATGCTTCTGGAAGGAATCACCAACTCTACGATTAACCCCTAATCTAAACCTAATTCTGTAAATTTATTAACACTCAAACTGCCTTTTGAAGTTCCGAGGACTGGCTGAAATGTCCTCCCAATGATTGTAATGAATGAATTTGTCCACCTGACCATAGAAGGATGTACTGTACACACCAACACACACAAATATACTCATACAAAGTTCAAATATAGTATGCTGTTTAAAAAAAAAACAGGAGGCTGTAGGCAACAGGAGATGAAGTAGGTCTCTCACTGTCTTGTGTGTTTGTGCGTGTCCCTTATATATTCATTTTACATACTGTAGTTCTTCTCTGTTTTAACCCTGAAGGACTCCAGTTCCTCTAACAAGGTGAATCCTGACCTCTTTTTTCATGTAGTCGCTTGCTGAGTGGAGGTGCTGGGGTGGCTGGACATGCTGTGTGTGCTTGTGTGTGTATGTGTGAGAAAGAAAGTGAAGGTTAACAGAGACCGAGAAAAGCAGAGGAGGAAGATTTCTTTTGTCTCTTTGCTGCAGAAGATTTTGTTGGCGTGTTGGGGGTAATCGATATAAGCAGGGGAGAGTAGAGCTTCTGTTCTTTTGTCTGTTTGTCCATGCTAACGTTGCAGGGTGGTGGATGCATGCAAACATGCATGTTCTTTGCACAGTGCATGCCTGCATGGGTTGTAGATGCAGATAAGGGTGAAAGACCAAAGAGGTGAAAATTGAGTAAAATAACATTGCTGAATGCTCCTTGTAACCACCATAACCCGGGTTCATCTCACTATGCCATGTAAACCAGCACACTATTTCTGAGTCTATTACCACCAAATGATTGTCATCATACACCACTAACCCTGCCTCTCTGAGCCGCTCCTCTTTCATTTCTCCTTGTGCATCTATCCCTGCTCAGTCTCACTTCATTCACCTGTGATAGCTGTGGAATTGCAATCAATACGCCGGTTGCACCCAGCTGAGAGAGTCAGACCATCTGTATCTATTGAACCAGGGCTTGAGACAGCACAGAGGACACAGTCTGTGTGGTAGAATGAGCGTCAGGGCGGGTTTGGTCAGTGTTCATCCATATTTGAAATGCGTCACTGTGCAGCCGTCTGCTGCAGGTATTTCTTGAGAGTACAAAATACTCAATGACCACATGTTATGCACCCACTTATGGATGACCAGTAGTCTTCATGGCTGATGGGAGCAGAGCAGGAGCAAAAAAGTAGGTCAAATAGGAAGTGGCTAATTGATAGCGAATAAAGGAAGGACAGCATGGCAAGGAAGAGTGGGAGGGCTTAGTCACTGCACAGAAGTTCTGGTACATTGTCCAAGCAAGGGTTGTGCACGCCTGATGGGAAACATGGACACACACACAGAACAAAATCTATGGCGATGGTCGAGTTCTGACTCACTATAGCTGTAAAAAAAAAAAAAACGAGGCACAGACTGTTGCAACATGACTGAGCTTGTCTGCTTGTTTAGTTTACAGGACATAAGAGGGAGCATTCTGAGTTTGTGTACAGTGTATTTATTTTTCTGTTTACTTACTTATTTCCTTATTTGAAATAAAAATCAGTACATTTCTGAACAGATTGGGTTAAAGCAGGACCAGGGGTGTTCTGAACTACCTCTTTTTTCAGTTTAATTCCTGGGAGCATAGCCAAAGCACTGAAGGTCATGTACGGTCCTAGTTTTATCTTTAGCTCTCTGCACAGTAAGCAGTGGCTCTGGATTCAGTGAACGAAAAACTTTACTCCCACACTCCCCACCTAAAGTCTCTTTTTCTGTTAAACGTTCATAAAATAGATGCTAAGAAATGACTACTGCCCTTCTGCAAGCTGTTCACTGCTAATGACAAGCTAACAATTCAACAAAATAAATCATAGCTCTCAGGAGATGCTGATAGGAATGAAGAGCTTCCCATGCTAGTAGCTTCAGGGAGAGGGACAGTGTCTCAGCACAACCCCTAATGGAGGCAGATGCTCATTTATCATCCTAAGTAGCTGTGTTCTTTTAATATGCTTGAGTGCAGAGTCGTGCACATCTGTATGTGTGCGGAGAAACAGAAGGAGAGAGGGATTAAAGATGAGAGAAAGTAGGTCAAAAACCCATGTAGGACACTATGTCGCCGTGGATGCAGGGCTGTATCAGCAGCATAATACAACCCCAAATTAGGAAAAGTTGGGATGGTATGTAAAATCAAAATTAAAATTGAAAGTAGTGATTTTTAAATCATGTCCTGTATTACATTGAAAACAATACTACATTATTTGATGTGATATCAGTTTTATTCTTTGTTCAAAATAAACACCCACTTCAATTCTGATGTCTGCAACGCATTCCAAAAAAACTTGGGACAGTAAAGTGTTTACCACGGTGCGATGTTGCCGTTCCTTTTCACAACACTTAAAAGACATTTAGGGACTGAGGACACCAAGTGATTAAGTGTGTCAGGTGTAATTTTGTCCCACTCCTCCTGCAAACAAGTCTTAAGGTTCGCAAGGGTCTTTGTTGACACAATTTGTGTTTCAAAAGAAAGAAAGAAAGTGTGTTTGTTAATATTCCCAAAGACTCTGCGCTGTCAGTAGCAGCTGAAGCTTCAGCACACATATGCGTTGCACACACGGAGTATTTCTTGGGAGCAGAGGCCTTTTGTCCCAAGGAGGGTTGTGTGATCATGTTGGCAATGGCAATTGTCAGAGTGAAAGCTGTGTCGCTTCACTTCAGCGATGGATGGTCAGTGATGGATTGAAGAAGGTACATAGAGACATAGTGGTTGAAGGATCTTGCCAATTACCCATCAGGTATGTGCTGTTTGGGAAAGAAAGAGTGCATTCATGGATAATGCAAGCACACACACAAACATGGCCACATTTTCTCCTTACCTTAGAGTGTGTCCTGCTCTTTATCCTGTCTGACAGGGTAGTAGTGGCTTGGAGCAAACATCACCTGTCAGTGAAAGCAATCATGGGAGGACCTGTTAAAAAAGACTGCATACATAAACACACACCTTAGAAACATCTGTGTCTCAGCGATTTTCTGTTGTGTTGTGCTCACTTCTGTTCAATAACAGACACATTAGTTCAGTGACCGCCCACATGCTATGACATTATCATTTAGTTTTAATTTGTTGGCAAAAACATTTAATACATTTAGCCTCATTTTTGTCATGAATAATAAGTTGTCATTGAATTTTTTTCATCATTTTGTTGATGACAATAATACATCCACCCTTCTGTTACTGTCAAAACTGGAAACTAATTTACCTTAGGCAATGTTTCAAACTGTTTGTGGATAGTGCCTGAATGTCTGATGGATCATTTGGTGAAATGTTGCCTTTGTAGAAACAACAGCCCTGATATTTATTACTATAACAAAAGTGCCAAAAGTGCTATGGTTGCTTTTACCATTTTTTTTAATCAGCTCTTGTGCTTGAACCCCATGGCATTTGGCTCCATCACTGGGTGTGACTAAAGCTGGACAAATCTGTCCAGGATGTTGCGTTAAGAGTAAACTCTACTAAAGCTAATCCTAAGGGGATGCTGACAGCCTTGAGCAGCAGGAGCAGAATCACTTCAAGCAGTTACACAACACCATCAGGGGTGGATCTAGAAAACCTCTGACAGGGTGGTCAGGCTGGGACATAAACTCAGAGACGGATGGCACATTTGAAATTCATGTAAAAAGTAAATTAAACCACTGGTTCTATGAAAGAATAGACCATACACTATTAAGAATCAGTTTATTTATTTTGTGCAAAAGTGAGACACTGTGCTGGCTCGAGAGTTGGCTGATCAGATTGTGGGGGCGGCCATTGCCACCCCTTGGCTCCGCCCATGAGCACCATCAATTTGATGCACTCTATGTCTTCTAGTTCTACAACCACTGCTCTAGTCTAAATACATAGGAGAGGTCAATTCAAATCTCAATAGTCTTACCTGGCATTAAAATTGCACAGATATTACATGGTTGTCAGAGACAGTCTGTACACACTTTTAAAGGCAATGCATCAAAAAACAAAATGGGTAAACAGTGTGCGCGGTAAGAAACAGTACCACCTTACTCTAGCGCCAATCTAGTGCAGTTACAGTATATGTTAACAATTATGAATGTTACCCAATTAAACATTTTTATGTGTTAGAAGCTACTGTACACAGCATGTCTACATAGGGAGCTTCTTTTGCTGAAAAATTCTCTGAAGTGTTAATTCATTTGCCCTGTGACATGATCACTTTTCATGTCTTTGATTTAATTTGATTATCATCTCATCTCAGAAACATGAAAACACTTTTGATATTCAAACACTTGCTAAATACTGACAGCTTGCTTCCCTCTTATGAACACTTTAATTAATCATTTTGTGACCTTGTTGTACCTTACTGCTGTTTCTGTAAGACAATTAGTTTTGCCAGGTGGGGTCAAATACACAAAAGTACACACAGTGTATACAGTATCACATCTGAGCCAAAATAAAAGTGCTACATCACAGCAGATCATGAGGTCAGTGCAAACACAGCGTGTCTTATTGCAAAGGTTCTTAACACCATTTCTGCTAATGGAATTAATCCTGGGCCTTGTTTGTTGGAAACTGTGTTGCTGTTTCACAGCTGTGGCGATTTGATAGTCAGAAGGATGCGTTGTGATTCAGGAGAAGAATGAGATGTAGAGCATGTGATGTGAGGTCAGCTTCCTACTCGTTACAGCTTTACCCACACAGCAGTGAGAAAAGCGGGGGATCAGGTGTGAAACGTCCTCCTCCTTTATGTGGGCCAGCGGGCGGTATTTTAATGAGCTTGTTGTTCCGTCTCTGCACAGTTGTCACGTTTTAGTTGGCGGTGCGAATGGTTATGACAGTGATAATGTACAATGATGTTTGATGATAACTGTGATCATGTGTGTCTTTTGCTTTTGGCTCATTTGTGAACATTTCCAAGAAGTTAAAATAAATTCTACTAAATGCAGTTGGCTGTTGCCTTCTCAGATTTGAGGTGTGCACACTTATCTCCGTGCTTCTGACTACTCACTCTGCAAGCACAGTTCATATTATTTTGCATACTAAACTTACAGTATGCCTCTTCTCTGTCTCCCTTTTTTTTTTACAGTGTGGCAAAGCAGCAGAGAACTTTGACAAGTTCTTCACACGCACCCAGCCTCAGCTCACACCGCCAGATGAGCTGGTTATCGCCAACATTGACCAGTCCGAGTTTGCAGGGTTCTCTTTCATCAATCCGCAGTTTGTGCACCCATCGCTCTACAACAGCCTATGAGAAGCATTAGGAAACCTACCTGAAGATCCGTGTTCACTCCCACCCACTTAAACCAACCAAAAACCTAACACTGACCCATGATAAACCTTTAGTCATATCATTAATAAGCAGGAATTTAGGGCATGCAGATTTGCTCTGTCCAGTGTCTTTGCCAGTATAGATGATAAAGATGAGGTTGCTTTCTGGCCACCACAAGAATGAATTTCCTTTAGTTTAATGATGACTGTAGAAAAGGATGTGCTTCCTTACCCCTGCAGTTTTTATTGTAAGTTTCCCAAAGCACTGAGACAGAAGCATGCCAAACGTGATTTATCTATGCCAGTATATGATGACAGTAACAGATTAAATTAAAATACTCTATGCCTGTCAGTGAAATAGTAAAGGAGCATTCAGCTAAAATAGCACATAAGGTGTGGATTAACTAATTCTAGAAGAGATGCCTGTCCAACTGTTCATGCTTACAGTCTACAGATCAGTTCGGTAGGTCACAGCTTGTTTCTGTGTGGATAACAATCACAGTATAGATATTATTTGATGACCCGTAAAACATTCACATAAGGCAATGTCGATGCTATATATACAGTAATATGAAGGATTTGTGTTAAAGCAGCTCCTCGTGATTCGCTGCTTCCTGTATCATGTTTACAGTTTTCTTCCCCTTTGATTTCATGGTGATGAAGAGGCCAATCTCAGCTTCCAGTGCGTGTAGCAACTCAACTAACAAATTAAATAATATGCAGCCTGTAAAATGATCATATGTGAGACAGGTGTGAGAGTGCCCGGGTGGGTTTTGGTTTGTCAGAACCTAAATTGGCTTCACAATTAGCACCCTATTTTACCAGGTTTTAAAATAATACTAAACATTTCCAAGCCCTTGTTAAGCTGCAGATTGTATAGTCACCTTACACACAGTCATCAGTTTAGTACGTTGGCAGTGGCAGAACGTCTTCTATCTACCTTGAAAAATCAAACCTAAAACGTTTACAGCTTGTCATGTTTTAAGACTAGTCAGTGTTAACTACTGTCTCTGTCTTACTCTGTGCCCATAACTACAAAGCCTCCTATTGGTCATAGATGTCTCCACAGAAACATTAAAGCACATCTTAATAAACTGTTAATTTTTTTATACTGTAACAAAACATCAGCTGATGTCCTTGTGTATTAGCTGTGTTTTACTGTATACAGTATCATGCCCTCGAGTGTAGATAAAACACATTTGTCGGGTTCCTTGGATGTAGAAGTTGCAAATCAGAAATACTTCTGACATCGCTTTGTTGTCCTGAGAACAAACATGTCCTTCGTTAGAAGAGAACACAACAATTATCAGTTAAATATGGACCTTTTTTGAATCCATTTTTGATTTTTTAATGTCTTTATATTCATTTAATTTTTATTCTCCTCTTTTTGTGATTTCATACAGAATTTTCCACTAGACTAGATGAATATTTTAATGTATCTTTTATCAGTATATAACTCCTTTGTAAATAATCATGAGTTATTTTAAAAGAATACAGCAAGTTACAGTTTTTATACCAACACCTGAATGTGCTTTTATTACATTCATTAGATAAACCAATACCTGTATGTGTAAAACATCAGACAACTAGGAATGTGACCCAGTAGAGATCAACTCTGTAACAGCTGAATGTCTTAAGTAAAATCCAGATTTAGCAAGATGTAAAAATATATATATATATGTTCTGCTTGTATTGGTAGATTTATCATCAGATCTGTTTGTTTCCTCTTAGATTTCTTTAATCACATTCAGTGATTTTGTTTCTGCAAATTGTGTGTTGATTGGATTTGTGTCCGGCTGCTGATTATAACTGTATCTGCATGCTGTTGGTAGGCATCATTCATGCATGTGATCATGCTACAAAGTATGAAACCCAAAAGTCTTACCAATTTTAAAGGGATGCTCCACTCAAATTCTATCTTTAGAGGTAAGACACACCCATTATGGTTGTTTCTACCTGTTTTGTCCTTCTTTTGACCACAGTTAGCTTAAATTCATCGGGGTTGCTGTGGATTCCAATCATTTTGCTGTGGGAAAAAAAAGAGTGTCAGAGCATCCAAAAGATGTCTTGAACCACTCCTGCATTATAATCAACTTCTGCGCCTTCTGATTTCACAGTTTATTTCAAATATACATATAGTTTGCTAAAACCACACTGACAATGACAATGTTCACTGCTCTTTACAAACCCACCTAAAGCTTGTTTGGAGTTACTGAAGGTCAAGTGACTGTTAAACTCTTAAAAGATAGATTCAGGGTGGAGTATCACTGTAAACACAGATCTGCATGTAGAAAGCCAAATTTAAAGTGGGCCATTATGCATCATGGCTGGTTACTGTAGGAGTGCAGAGCTTAGACCAGTTTAGAGAAACACACTGAAGGTTGCAATAAATAGGTTGTTAAACTGTGTGAGTAAGATGAATACGGTGATTTAACCCTCCCAAATAACTAGATTGAAAACAAGTATTACAAATTATAAATTTAAATAGATATGATATCTTCCTGAGACCTGGTCACTGGCTCTCGATCAGTGCTTTTCATCTTTATACATTATGGCCCTGGTTCCTTTTGCCTTTGCCTATTTAGGTCACCGTTGGATGCTTACTCTGGATCGGTTGTGAGTTGTGACTCACAAGCGCCGCTCATTGCTAGGCCAGTGGGACCACTCACTCTAGTGTCTCATGAATGGGGTTTATGGGATAATCTTAATCTTGTGTTGTCAATTTGTCATTTTTTCCCCCTGCTGTAGCTGCTTATTTTAGGCTGTTGTTTTTATTCTACCAGCTTCTGCTCAAGAAATTCAGGAATGTTTCAAAGGATATATCACATTAGAGATTAATGTCCGACTAATACACAGTAGTTAGAAAATATTACAACTGTTTCTAGCTCCTAACACCTGTGCAATCCTAGTCTGTTGCCTGTCATATATAACCTTCTGCATGTGCCAAACCCGGAAAATACCAGAACTCGACAATTTCAGCATTGCACTAGCTGTGATCACGTGGATGACTTCTCCTTGTACAGGCTGAGACCTGGCTAAAACTGCACCTGCTATACACTTTGTTAGCCACATACAGTATCATATACTAGCATGCTGCCGTGAGTATACCACATTTTACAACGCCAGTCCATTTCACAGTCCACTTAGCATACACGGTAGTAAATTCTCCTGTGCCTGTCTGAAAAACATTTCAACTTGTGCCACATTTGATTTAACATCTACAGTGATTTTCATAGAAGTGAAGGAGAATAATCATTGTACATACCCAAAGTTTACTCAGCAATGGTCCTGCCCTTGTCTGAGCCTAACATGCATCGCTGTATGTGCCGACTTAATAGTCGAGAGCCATCCCTTTAATAGACTCTGCTGACTTGCTGCCCAGTTTTCTTTCTTTTTAGAAATGTTCTCAAAGTATCACTACACAGTCAGTGTGGGCATGAAAACAAATGAATACTCTCCCCTTGTGTGCCTTTCCCAACTTGAACAAATGTACATCTTCTTAATCTCTTTCCTATTTGTTCCTCTGAATATATTTGTAATTATTTGTCAAACTAACTCATTTTACTCTGTTACTGTTTCAGTACATCTCAAACTGTTCATGAGGGAAAATTCTAAAGAAAACTCTGCACACTTTGTTCACATAACCAGTCCATCATTCTCTGTAAATCTGAATTTGAAGCACATTTTACTGTCTGACACCAGGAACTTTTACAGTGTGAAAACCTACAACTTTGCTCCTCCCTGTGTGTCTGCTTGCTTTACCTTTACCTCCCTGTGCCTATTAATAACTGAATGATGAAGCGAGTAACTTAATAAATGTATCAACAATATCAAAGGAGGATATTAATGGAATGAAGGAACAATGAGCAGGTGATGGATAGGGCTGGGTTAAATCAGTGAAAGGGTAGATGATGATTGTGTATTTGAAGAACAACACCTGTGCCTCGTCACACTGAGCTACCCCTTCCTCCCGTTGTCACCCTCATGTCCTCTGTCACTCTGCCTGTTACTCCCTCCTCAGTGCCTGGGCCAAGTCAGTTCATCATCTTATCGACAGTTTCCTCCACCTTTCACCCTTTAAATCCCATCGGGTCAGGAAAGCAGGTGATTTTTTTTTTTGCATTGTGCACGTACTGCAACCACAGTTGGCATCAATTCCACCCTTTCCTCTTCTCTACTGGTTCGCCCTGGTGCACCTTGGGAAAGGAGCTAGCCAAATGCATTTGGTGTTTTAATTTGTTTATATTTTATTTGACATCTTTTTTGATTTAGGTAACTAGGCTGCCCTGAAAATAATGACATAACTTTCTTAAATGTAATATTTTGAGTAAAAGGTCTGTTGTGATTTTTTTTTTCAGTCTGCAATAATATGTTTAAGTATACTGTATGTATCTGTTTGTTTTCGATCACTCCTGTTTAACATGTTTCTTCCTTATTGTAAGTCATTACTCTCTGCTGTGTCCTGTTTGCTGTGAAATGACAGAGTTGAAGTAAACTGCCATCTTTTTGGCCATACAGACCACAGCTTCAGTGATGTGTAGGAATGCCTTATCTTTTCACCCATACAGTAACATGGTGTCTAAATCTCTCTTATTCATTTACAATCTCACGTCCTGTTATTGTACATATTGACTTACAGTGGATATCTACATAGACTGTAAAAGAAGAATATATTGTATTTTGCAAATGGTGTGTGTTTGTTTTCTCCCCTTGTCAGCCTAAAACCTTTAAAATGAGTTGGAGCTACATACCTTGTAACTGATTGTGTCATTTGTACCTAATGTATTATAATGCAAATTAAAAAAAAAAAGGAAAATCAGGTCCATATTTATGCGGGACAGTTGTTTGTTTTTATGACTTTAAACATAATCAACACATTATATTATTATTATTATTATATTATTAATGTTTTATTTAAACATATATTGTTGCTTCCATTTGGTGCAGACTCTGGGTTTCCCTTCATCTGGGAAAGTCGCATGATGATCTGTTTTGACCAATGTGTCAGTGGTATCACATGAAGTTGCATCTTAGGGAGAAGAAGCAGCTTTATTTTGTTGTCATTGTAACACATACAACAAAATTTTGTTTGGAGCTGAGGGCCCCAGGCCGCTGTGTGCATACGCACCACCATCACAGGCAACTTGGGGGTTCAGTGTCATGTCCAAGGACACTTCTACATGTGGACTGCAGGCACCGAGATTCAAACCTTCAACCTTCCGGTTGGGAGCCAACTGCTCTACCCAGCGCACCACTGTCTTATAACACATATGCGTATGGAGGCAAGTGAGAGTGTGTTCAAAGGTGTGAGTTTATGCAAGGGTGGTGGGTCAATTGTGCATATGTTCCAGGACACTTCATCGGTTGCATGGTAGAGTTTGAGTCCAGCATGGGGAAGACAGAGAGGTTTTCATAATGGAAGATAGTAGACTGACACTGACACACCATACTGACTTTCTGGGAGCTTAGCCCAGTTGTCACCTTACCAAATACTGTACCTGTCATAACATTCATATGAAAAAAAAATGCTTCATCTCATTTTTCATAAAACAAAAGCTGCATCTGTGGTTATTCCCGTTGTTCCAAAATGTGTACCAAAGAGGGTTAAAAGGTTGCATAATACCCACATAACTAAGTATTGGTAGGAGGAAACATTCTAATTACCCTCCCCTCAGATGACAAAATATCAATCAAAGCAGCAAGTCTTTCCCTGCTGTTTGTCAAACACGTCACCTTTGTTTTATCTGGATTCAATTTAAGCTTTAATTTAATCAGTTGAGACTGTAAAATATCAAAGCCAGACTGAAGCTTAACTAGTGCCTCAGTTAATGATGTAGCACAGTTATAGAGCATGGTATCATCTGCATATCAATACTTATAAACCCCTTCTTCTCTCCTGGCTGGTGATATTGTTATATATTATTATACAGTATGTAAAAAAACTACACAGTATGATTCAACCTGTGATCTTTTTTTTCACCTGTTTCTTAACAAAGGCTGCCAGCTGAATAGAGAAAGCCCTGCAGTATGGGGACTATGGGCCCAGCTGGTGTGTGAGCTTTTGTTGAAAACTGTATGTTTCAGTCCACTGGTTTTTCTCATTCTCCTGCAATTACACAAACAGACAAATACACACATATATAGCATATACCATCTGATATGAAACTACGTAGTAAGTCATATACAACAATACTGTTTATTTATGAGAGCTGAGTGAAACAGAAGCAATGGCATTATAGTCTGGTGCATACATCTTTATGAATAATGACCAAACCAGTGTGTACTACAGAAGCTGCCTGAATGACTTATGTTTGCATTAATTAAAGAAATAAAGAAATAATTCAAGCTAGAAAAAGTAGAAATGATAATGACATTTTTCTGTCTACATTTAGTCAAATGTGTGTCCACATTCCTGTAAACAACAAGTGTGAACTGAAAGGAACATTTTGCATCTAAGATACTGAAGTTGACCCGTCCAGGGAGTAACCTGCCTCTCGCCCGCAGCCGGCTGGGATTGGTTCCAGCCCCCCGTGACCCCATTTGGGACTAAGTGATATAGAAAATGGATGGATGGATGGATACTGAAGTTAAGAGAACCCACACAGGCACAGGGAGAACATGCAAATTCCGCACAGAAAGGCTTCATGTCGACTGGAGCTCAAACCCTGGAAACGTCTTGCTATGAGGCAACAGTATTAACCACCATCCCACCTCTGGTGCTAGGAAAGTTTGTTTCCTGTTAGTGTCCAGCATGGAGAAGCTTGAATTTTGCTGCAGGCTTTGGTATTTGATTGTCAAAGCAGAGAAGATGTTGATTCAGCAGAATGCAATGATAAAAGCCTCTGAAAGGAGAAGTCATGCGAAACAGAATGAGAATCATCCTGGTTACCTTCCTGATAGGTCAATGGGAGGTCATTTGAAAGACAAAACTAAATTGATGATAGCCTTACCATTCAACCCTCAGTCAGCAACAGAATGTGCAGGTTTGTCGTACACATGCATGTAAGTTGCCAGAAGGTTGCAAATGACTGAACGAATGTGCCCAGAGATGATTTGTGATGAATACAGCCCGACAGCAAGATGAATCTGTGCCTTTCTGATCATCTATCATGAAATTTGGCACAAATTTAGCTTGATTTTTTGAATAGATAGGCTACATGCTTTATTTGCCCAGTTACTTATGCAAGAAGGCACCTGAACTCAGGTGGAAAACATAATTTGTGGGAAAACCTGTTCAAATGGGCAGGAAAATGGGTAAAACATGGAGAAATAACACACACAAAAGGGTAGGGGTGGAGGTGGGGTGAGGTTTTAAAGACAAAATAATCATGATTAAATGATTACCATTATGTGTTCATTTATAACTGATCTGACTTTGTAAGCATCCTCTGTGCAAAATGTCATATTCATGTAGCCTATGCTGTTTAGATCGCCATATAAATGTGGGAACATGTTTTAAATGCTGTATGTATTTGCACATACACTTAAAACACTTCATTGTTTTAGGTTTCAGATGTGCTGCAAAGAATCTGACATACCAGCATCTGCAATAACCTTAAATCGTGACACCTTCTGGGTTTTATTTGGTTTGAACTCCACACTCAAACTGTCCACATCACATGACCGCAGTGTGTCCTCTTCACCTGAAGAGAGGTAGAGTGCGGAGATGCGCGCCACGTGCCTCGTGCCACGCGGTTAGTGAGCTACTGGCTTGGATAGTGGTGGTGCACGAACGTCCCGTCACCACACGGGCGTATCGCGCGCTAAATACGAGCCAACACGCACCGACTGG